CCCTAAAATAAACAAGAAATTAAACAAAATAAATTTCAGCTCGTTGAATAGGATATGAAACTAATGTAAAACGCTACAATACATGTGTTTTTTGGACTTTTTATATCCTTAACCCTGTCGTGCCAAGTGTATCACACATGAGCTGATGTATGAGTTTGTAACACTTCTATATCGTTGTCATCATCAACATTAAAAGCTTAATTAAATTGCACAGTCGATTTTTAACCTATAAGATGCATAAAATGCCAAATGTAGCAACTATAGTACAAATTTTGTATTTAAATAAAGCGTTTCGTAAGGTTCAATAAGCTCTCGATTTTCAAAAAAATATAAGAATTTTCTAACGATTACTTTGTGGTTTAAGCTTTAAAGGGTTACATTTTTAAAGTTCTTCAGACATACAATATCTCACAATCATATGTGAGCCTCTGCTGGCTCAAAGATGAGGTAAAGCACAGTGTCAGCTGGTCTGGGTAAAAGAATTTGTACTTTAGATGCTGACTGGTTATGATGCTTCAAATTTAAAGGCGTGTTAAACACACATACACGCTCCAAAATTAGGAGAACAAATTTAACGACTGCAGTGGCTGTTTTTCAGGTCTACGCTGATGGTGATTTACTGCTGCCTGCAAATGCCTGATTTATGGTTGTAATCTGTTGAAGCAGATGTTTGGATATAAAAACCGCAGCACGTCCTGTCCTGTTAACACTGACTTATTATGAGCTCGGCTAAATGAGCTGCTCGTGGCGACTCTGAACCTCAGGAATTCCTCTTCCCACCGCTGCGTTTTGTTGCACAGCATGAACACAAGACTGTGTTTTCTCAGTTGCGTTTTCCTGATGACACAGTCGCCTTTTTTTCCTCGAGGACTTTGTACTTTTGCTGACCGTAAACTAGAGCAGGCTTTGTAAACCAGACGTGTTTGGTTTGGAGAGCAGCTGGATGGTTGCCATGTTTGAAAGAAGAGCATGACTGGATCACTGTGACCTGCTGATCATTAGCACACTTACTTACTTTAAAGGTGTTGCAATGCAAAAAGCAGGTGGTCTGTGCTGAACAGCTTCTTCTTAGTGTTCTTCCTCAACAGTCTGTGACTCTGGAGTAAATTTACCTTGTCAGTTACCTGCAAACTGTCAGTGATTGTCTTCTTTATTATTATTTTTTAAAGCAAACATGTATTTTCTTTCGGTTTATTTCAGTCTTTTCCTTATCAGACAGATCTTCACAGAGATTGTTTTCATCTAAAACGGCTGCAGGATGATGCTGCCCTCTGCTGGGCTTTTGACAGAGATACAAACCGTATTCATCTTCTTTAACCTCCTAAGACCTGAACTCTTCCACAGCATGCATTTTTAATTTCACTTTGATATTTGGGCTGATTGGGACCTGATGAATGTAAAAACAAAGAATTACCAGATTTTTTTTTTAACCTAATTTTTGTTTCTAAGAAAAATGAGAGCCGCCTATGAGGATATTTGTTTAAAATTTCGATAGAACAGTAGCAGTATAATGTCCTTGTAAGTGGATATCAGGCCCTTGTAGAGCAACATTTAGTATTTTGGTCTAAATAACCCAAAATGTGATGTCCACATATGTGGACGCCAGGTCCTAGGAGGTTAAAGGGAACCTCTTATGCTTTTCTTTATTTTCTCTCATATACTGTCACTACGTTGTGTGCTTATATTAAAGATGGCTGCGTACTCGCTGCTAGTGCTGGGTTTGACTCCATTTTTCTCTCATTTATTCTTCTGTCCCATCACATCCCAAAGGCCCTGTACTGGATTGAGATCAGGTGAGTGTGGAGGATATTTGAGTAAATGATGCTCTGCTTGTACAAAGGGGCCCAAGAAAATATCCCCCACATTATTACACCACCGGCTTGACCATTTTTTTGTGGATAGATCCATGCTTTCATGCTGCTTACACCACATTCTGACCCTGCCATCTGAACAATCTGTTCAGATTGACAACCGTTTCCGATCTTTTATTGTCCAGTTTTAGTGAGTCTGTGAGTCAGCTTCCTGTTCTTACTTGACGCGAGTGATATTTGATGTGGTCTTCTGCTGCCTCTGCTTCAGTTTTGGAAATGGTTTTCTGCATACTTTGGTTTTAACGCGTTTATTTGAGCTACTGTTGCATTTCTATCAGCTTAAACCAGTCTGGCCATTCTCTTCTGACCTCAAATATCAACAAGACGTTTTCCACCAGAGAACTGCTGCTCACTGGATATTTCATCATTTTTTCCAGACCATTCTCTGTAAACCCTACAGATGGTCGTGTGGGGAAATCCCAGCAGCTCAGCAATTTCTGAAATGCTCTGACCAACAACCATAACACATTCAGTCACTTCAATCCTCTTCATTCTGATGCTCAGTTTGAACTTCAGCAGGTCACCTTTACCCTGTTTTACATCCTTAAATGCACTGAGATGCTGCCATGTGATTGGCTGACTAGATATTTGCTAATAAGCAGTTGATCAGGTATACCTACTTAAGTAGCTGGTTACTGTCTGTACACACTTAAGACTGCTCTATACACTCTGTTGCAGGCATGTTTTTTTTTTCTACTCTTGGTTTAATACAGTGGTTCTTAACCTGGGTTCGATCCAACCCTAGGGGTTCGGCAGAGCCTCCGCCGTGACATGCACAGCTCATTTTGTGCACCAGTAAAAAACATGAGTGTCTTGAATTTGAAGAAAAAAAAAAAAAATTATTTTTCACTAAA